GACGGACTGGTGAACTTTGAGAAGATGGTGAGCATTTTACTGTTATCTGCAGGGATTTGTTTCTCTCAAAAAATGACTTTTACTGCTTGTTTAAGCTACTTATTTAAAATGGGTTTAAATAACACACATCTTAAATTTTTTTATAACACTTCAATTTGTAAAACAAATAATTTAATCGATTTGTGTTGTGACAACATGATGGAATTGCTTTGCAAAAAATTGTGTGGAATTGGGTTCCACACAATTCCTTCATGTTGTCACAGCACAAATTGATTAAATTAACTTAATCGTTTTTACAAATTTAAGTGAATGGAACATAAAACAATCGAATTGTCCCACAAAAACTTAAGAATTGTGTTGTTTCAAATCATTTTAAATAAGTAGTTTGAACAAAAATCAAAGTGTGTTTAGTACACTTGTTGCCCTTTAGCCTACAATTATTTTAGGTTTAGTTTCAGTGATTAGTACGTTTTTTTTAGTCAGACAACGTTTATATGCAAACTAATATTTTTAAGTAGCGTTTACATTTTATTTCAGTTCTGCATTTAAAAGAGTTTTAGCTAACAATTACTGGGTGACAAGCCAATATATACAGCATGTGATATATTTTTCTATTTTCAGCGGCTGATTGCTAACACAGTGAGAGCGGTCAGGCATTGCAGGAGCCAGCCTTTCAGTGAGTCCCCATACATATATTTTTACATACTGTATATCAAAAAGATTGGTCAATCAATAACAATCTGACGTTCATTTGGGAAAGCTTAACTTGTTATGTTTAAAGGTAGAAATCTCCATTGCTTCACAATATGTCTAAAAATATTTAAGAACAAAAATACTCTGAAAAAATAAATACAATACAAACATAATGACAACAATTCCAGTATTGCATTGTGCCGTATTAGTATATCTCAATTATTCACAACACTTAAATAATGCAAACAAAAATATGCATGATATCAAAACTAACCATAGTATTTTATTGGATCAGTTTTGTGGTGAACAATCCATCTGTGCATGTCATTAAGAAAAAAAATAGTAAGCTCTTGTAATCTAAAATTAAAATCTGAAAATGAAGTTATATTCTCATATTATGTGATTTTGAGGTATTCGGAGTGGCCAACATACTTAACCACGCCCCTCCAACTGTCAGTTTCGACAACAGACAGAATTTTTTTTATGAATGAAATGTCTACTTTACTACATCCAATCAGCTCGCAGCAGAAAAAACAAGCCACACCCAATGTTTACTCATTTAATATTCAGTTTCTCTAAGAACTGTGTCACAATACGAACAAAAACAGCTTCCAGTTTATGGGGACTTTAAATAAATAACTTCCAATGCAACACAGAATACCCAAATGGGCATTGTTGACAACAAAAGAGACAAATAAGATAAACTGTATATAATCCAGTACATTTTAAGCATGGCTTTTAATCCTCTACTGCACGCATTATGATAAATCTATAAAAATAAAACATTAGACTGTTTTTCTTGTCTTAGATTGGCTTTACTTGAAGTGCTGTAAAAAAAAAAAATTGGAAAAATGTCTTTTTTTAAGGTACTTTATGAAATGTTGCCATATGGCAACAACGTTAGTGGATCTACCTTAGAAAATTCAAATTTAAACTTTTCTTATAATTAATAATTTTGTTGTTTGAAATGGTTTAATTGGTGTTGCAGTATTCCAGGCTTTAACACAGAACCTATAAATAACACCTTATACATACTTTACAACAACTCATATTTCAACAGCTTTCATTTATTCCATTCTTTTTTGCTGAATATAATTAAAAACAAACCTAATATTGTATAATCATGTGTACAACATACAGTAAATATAAATATTTTCTCCAGTATTATAACAAATAAATAACAAGTCTAATATATTCAGATGCTTCAGAATAATGTAGCTACTAGCTAACAATGTTTATTATATACTATACTATGCCTGTCTTTTATGCCTCTGATCTAACTTACTTGAACTGTCTCCATCACTGCTCTTATCAAATGTCCAGTGTGCATTATTGTCATAGTCACTAAAACCCATCTCATCCTCACTTTTATCTGCTGGAATTGCCCCAGTTCTGTCCTTTTCTTCTTTAAATTACTATAGAACATGGTGGTGCTCGCTAATACACTGTTTCCTGTATTCATATCTATTCAACAGTAGTACTGCCATTAAAACTAGATTTTATCCATAATGCAAATGCCATTAACACATGACTAATCAACATTATATTACTAGGATTCATGTTGTTGTTGTTACAATTTAAAAGTTCACAGCTGATCTTGCTAGCTTGCTGACCCATTGCTATATTGCACGTTCCACTATTGCACAGTGTTTGCCAACACACACATTTGATCGAGTTACAAAAAACTCATTTGATAAAAACTTTTTTGAGCTGTGAATATGTCATCATAACTTACTGTAAGTGATGTTTCAGATTTTTTGTTGTGGATCTGACATAATTTGATCCTTTGTTTTTTATTGACGTTTACATTTGCATTCAGCAGTTACTTACAATAAACACCAGTCTGTCAGAAATCACACCACAGAAAAACCCTGCATGTCATGTGACTTAACCAGAGCACATCATTGGCTACACTTCTCTTTCCAAAAAAAAATTCAATGTGTGTCACATTGAAGAAACAGTGGCAGGGAAATGAATATAAAAATCATGTAGCTATATGGCAACATCATGAGTTAAGAATTTGCTTGTCCTGTTTTTTTCCTCTCTAAATTATAAGGCATTTCAAGGTGCATGTTAAATAAATAAAAAGGCATGTTCTAATTAACAGGGGGGAAAGCTATATGCACTTGTATCGTTTGATAATTGTTTTTATCATCTGTTCAAAAAATAAGTACAGAATTTTTTTTTTAAATCCAAACAGTGTTGTGCTGTATAGCAAATTCATATATTTACCAATCACTTTTGAAATTGGTTCTATTAACATTGTCCTGCCTCAATCAGATGCTGAAGCGTCTCCAGCCAGTAAGAATCCACAGGAAGTGAGGAATTATGTGCGCCAGCTGACTGTGATTGACAACCAGAGAACCCTATCACAGCTGTCCTTCAGACTGGAGCCAAGACGGGGCTAAGGACCAATGCTGAGTCTCTCTCTCTCTCTTTCTCCCTCTCTCTCTCTCTCTCTCTCTCTCTCTCTCTCTCTCTTTCTAAAATACACCTACTGTATATCCAGTTTACAGCAGTACAACTCAATTTTACGTCTATTGGCTGCCAGAGCTGTTGCCGACTGTATGTGCTATCACTGCCAACTCGACTTTGTGTACAAGATGCATTCTCATACACGAACGGTCAAATTAGATATCAGTAAGGTTTTTAAAAGAAGATTTACCTCACCAACACTGCATTTATTTGATCCAAAATAAAGTAAAACATGTGAAATAAGATCACTGTTTCAAACAGATTAAAATGTAGATTAAAATGTAATTTATTCCTGTGATTGAAAGGTGAATTTTTAGCATTATTACTCTGTTAATGAAAAAAATCAATCAATCAATCAACTTTTTCAATGTACTTTAATGTCTCGTGATTCTTCAGAAATCATTTTAATTATGGATTATAATCAGTACTCAATCTTTTATAATGATTCTTATAAGTATTAGTGTTAAAAACATTTTTACAGTGCTCCATAGTTTTGTGGAAATTTATATATTTTACTTTTAAGATTCTTTGATGAAACTGGTTCACAGAAATCAGTCAAGTTTGGTGAAGGAGAAATCATGGTTTGGGGTTACATTCGGCATGGGGGTGTGCGAGAGATCTGCAGAGTGGATGGCAACATAAGCAGCCTGAGGTGTCAAGACATTTGTGCTGCCCATTACATTACAAACCACTGGAGAGGGCAAATTCTTCAGCAGGATAGCGCTCCTCATACTTCAGCCTCCACATCAAAGATCCTGATAGCAAAGAAGGTCAAGATGCTTCAGGATTGGCCAGCCCAGTCACCAGACATATGAACATTATTGAGTATGCCTGGGGTAAGATGAAATAAAAGGCATTGAAGATGAAACCAAAAAATATTGATGAACTCTGGGAGTCCTGCAAGAACACTTTCTTTGCCATTCCAGATGACTTTATTAATAAGTCATATGAGTCATTGCAGAGATGTATGGATGCAGTCCTCCAAGCTTATGGGAGTCATACACAATATTAACTCTTTTCCCACTGCACCATGACTTTATATTCTATACTGTACATTATTCCTGTTAAGTGACAAGAGTTGTGTCTAAGCAAAGTCAGACGTTACTGCCCTAGTTAAATAATTAATAATCAAGGCAAAATTATATTTTATTTTGGTAAAATAAGCGTAATCTAGAAGCCTTTACCTACTATATAAGCCACTTCTGATACCAAATGATCAACTAGAAGTCAAGTTATTATTTGCTGTTCCTAAAACTTGGATTGGGGACAAGACTTTTGTCAGGTAGTGTATATATATATATATATATATATATATATATATATATATATATATATTTTTTTTTTTTTTTTTTTTTTTATAAGTGTCTTCACTTTCACTCTTGAACAATTGAATGTGTCCTAGATTAATAAAAGTAAAGACATGTTAAATATTAATTTTGAGTGCTACTTTTGAATTTCTACAAAAATATGAAGCAATCCAACAGATTTTAACACTAACAACAACAATAATAATAATAATAATAGATTTTTTAACATATTAGAAAAATTTCTGAAGAATGTGACACTGAAGACGGCAGTATTGATGCAAAAAAATCTGCTTTAAATCACAGGAATAAATGTCGTTTTTAAACTATATTCAATAAGAAAACATGTCTTTTAAATTGCAACAATATTTCCAACGTTGTAAGAGTTTACTCTGTTTTGAATCTTTTTAAAAATGCAACCTTGGTGGGCAGGAGAATTTTCTTTTAAAACAGTTAAAAATCCTACTCATCTCAAACTTTTGACCAATATGTGTGCTTGATTGTGTGAGAGTGTATGCGAGTGGCAAGCCAATGACTTTAGTATTAAGAGCTACCATGTGTGTGCGTATGCATATGTGTGTGCGTATGTAAAATGCAGTCTACTGTACACCCTTTGATTCAGTCATGTGAGGTCATAGTTACAGAAATTCTCATTATTCCCTTATACTGTACTGTAGCCATTGCCTGTGCTTGTTCCTACATTTCTATCATCCCAACGCAAAACAATCCTAAAAATAAGAGTTTAGTACAAGCTACATATCATGCAAACAAATAGTGACTCCGGCCACAGAAAATCAATCATCGATTCTCTCCATAAAACCTTCCAGGCCTCAATGATTTGTGTTACAAGTTTCAAGTCATTCAGTATAAGTATTAGTATTCTGTCTCAAGGACTATTTTTGTTACCACTGGCTCAATTATGTGCTAGTAACTTACCTCTCGCCATAGCCTGTAGCATTATTGATGCCATTTTGTACATTGAGTTATATTTGCATATTTTTGGGTTGGACCCATGTTTTTTTGCTAAGTTATCATAATCGGTCTGAGAAGGCCTTTGTTTGTTCTCATTGTGCCGTTTGGAAAGTGAGACGCTGTGTGTGTGTGCGTGTGTATAAGGCACTTATTTTCTTTTAGGAAAATGTCTACGCCTGCCTTGTAAATAAATGTACCGTTGAACACTTGTCGTTTGTGTGGTTGGACTTGTGACTCCAAACGAGTGTGTTACTTTTGTTACTCTGTTTTATTGCTTTTTATTTAATTTTTTTGGGGGGGTTTTTCATTGAGAAAATAAAGGATTAGTTCACCCAAAATGAAAATCCTGTCATCATTTACACACCTCAATGAGTTTAAATGAGTTTCAATGAGTTAAACGTTTTCTTTTTGGGGTGAACTATTGCTTTAATATTGTATGCTACATGTATGTACGGTACTGAAAATAATATATTATTTATTTGTATGCAAATATAGCATATAATCACACAGGATTATACAACATTCAATTAATACATTATAGAGCAGTAATATACATGAGCAATATCACACAAGTAGCAGTGCGATGTGGCTGTATATCGGCACAGGTGAGAAGTGTTGTGGCATGAGGATGCAAGCCGAGTGCCTTAGTGCCCACACCAGTGACGATTTACAGCCACATCGCAATGCTACGAGTGTGATATTGCGGTTATACAACAGTTTGACGGCATAATCGTGTGTATAAAAAAAAGACAATCAAACACGGAGAGTCTCAAAAACCCTTTTGTACGAAGAATTACTTTCTTCTGCCATTCATTTGCATTGAAGCTGAAGGGTCAGAACAGCAGAAACCATTGCTACTTCACCAACGTCACTTTAGAGCTAGTATGTGAATGATTCTCTAGTGTAATATCTAAAGTGATGACAAAACAGTTGATTTTGCTGACATTTTAAGATTATAAGGCTGAACTGCATGATTTCCATGTATTTCTGTAGCATTTATTTGGTATTTCACCATAATTAACCCCAAAGAATTCAGAGCAAAGCAAACACTACCAGATATGGCATAAATAGAGCAATACAACATACAAGAGAGAGAGAGAGAGAGATCGACTTAAAATGTCACTTACCTGATTTATACAGATTTTTTCACCTGTAGTTTGAAACTTACACTGAGAAAACGCTGTTATTCTCCAATAAGGACTTATTATGCAGTCTCTGTTGTCATCTTATGGCGGCACGTCATCCGTCACTTTCTTGGGTCTGCTCAGACAGGCTGATGCACTGAATATATAATTCTCCCTGTGAATCAAAGGTGAACTTTTGTTATATGCTGAATTGTTATTATTTTTTAATGATTATTATATTTGTGTGTGCGCGCGATGTGTGTGGAAAACTGCAATCTATCATTACCATTATCTTTTTCTTTTGATAATACTAATCTTAATAAATTTTATTTATAAACGTTTTTTTTTTTCTGTGAATCAGCATTGATAATAACCAAGCAGCACCAACTATAACTGACTCTACAGAAGCTCTATATTAATATATATAACAATTGCTAACTGAATGTACAGTTGAAGTCAGAATTATTAGCCCCCTGGTAAGTTTTTCCCCCATTTCTGTTTAATGGACAGAAGATGTTTTCAACACTTTTCTAAACATAATAGTTTTATTAAGTCATTTCTAATAACTGATTTATTTTATCTTTGCCATGATGACAGTAAATAATATTTGAGTAGATATTTTTCAAGATATTCTATACAGCTTAAAGTGACATTTAAAAGCTTAACTAGGCTTAATTAGGTTAACTATGCAGGTTAGGGTAATTAGGCAAGTCATTGTATAATGATGATATGTTCTGTAGACTATTGAAAAATATATAGCTTAAAGGGGCTAATAATTGTTTACCTTAAAATGGTGTTTAAAAAATAAAATATGCTTTTATTGTAGCCGAAATAAAACAAATAAAACTTTCTCTAGAAGAAAAAATATTATTAGACATACTGTGAAAATTTCCTTGCTTGATTAAACAAATCAAAGGTGGGCTAATAATTCTGACTTCAACTGTACGTAGTAGCCTAATCTCATAAACAAAATAATGTAATATTTTTTGTAATTATTTAATCAATGTTTTAGTTTATGTATTTACATTTTAGCATTTAACAGCCAACCCTTTTCATTGGCTGTCTGTGTCCGTGTAGAGGCGCTGTTGTCATTGTCATAAAATGTGTCACACCGTTATCCATGCTCAAGAATTGTCACATTCTACTATGGCGAATCCTTTGCTAATGAATATTCATAAGGTCTTCTTAAAATATCGCGTTCATTGGTTGAATTGCTGCCGTTAGTAGGTGGGCGTTAATCTGACGAACGAATCTCGTCATGACGCAGACGGGTTGAATCTTGAATATTAATTACGTTACGATTAAGACACTCCTATAAGTTGCGTCTGTAGGTCATGTTTAATATACACAAACCCCTCCTTTACCGTAGTAGGATTCATAATTTGTCCAGTGGTCCCAAGCGAGTGTCCTCTTATGGAAGTGCAGTAACACGAGACAATGAGGCTCCGCACATTATCTTATGACTGGGATTGTTCATAGTGCGACAGGCCAACGAGTTTCACCGGACCTCTCGGAACACACGACCAACAGGTAGGAAAGCATGGGTTTTTCATGTTAATACACTTTATGTTTCTGTATGTGTTAGTAATACTTTATTTTTAACTATATAACTGTGTGGAATGAGTTTTAACCCTGCAGGGGAATTTGTTTTTGACGACTTCAGGAGTGTGGGATAATGTTCGTCAAGTGTGTTTTTGCTTTCCAGAAGTTCTCCTTAATCTTTAAAAGTCGTATTATTAGTTACATTTTAGATAAAATATAATAAACAAAGAGTAAATTAAGTGTTCTGAAGTCTTAAAAAGTATTATTGGGTGAATCTGTAGTGGTACATAACATTGTATTTACATAACATTGTAATTACATATTGTTTTACACATAAATACAGCCATTTGGTGCACATAAGATTTAAATACACAATTAATGCTGAATTAATGTGAAAATTTCTATTCCTGTGGCCTCTAATTTATGCACAGTTAATAATTTTAATAATATTAGGCTGTAGTACATGTTGTTTTTTGGCAATGCCTCAAGTCTTAGGTATGAATGAGCTGTTTTCAGTCAAAAATAGCTGAAAGTGTGACACATTTGCCTTCTGTTGGCCCCTGATGTCACAGCCAAAGGGCCACAGTAATGATATGCGGGTTGTTTTTAGAATCTGGGCTCTCTTAAAGTGATATCCTTTGTACAGGACACATAGGTCGGCCACTGAACTGGGGAAGCCAATCTGAGGTCATAGATTTCAGGGAAAAATGACGCATGTACTAGTTATGCATAAGAAACCGGACCCCCATGATGACCATCTAACTACAACAACATTAGAGGTGAAAGCAAACACAAGCCTGGTTGTGGAAGCTAGATTTTATAAACATGAATGAGAAACTGTAAAGTACAAAACCAAGCAGTGTTTCCCACATGCTGTAGTCATTTATAGCAGTGGTTCTCAAAGTGGGGGTCGGTACCCCCCGAGGGGTCGCGGGGCAATGAAGGAGGGTCGCCTGGTGATTTCAAAAAATCTATTTATTTTTATTAAAACATAAGAATTAACATATTTTATCCATAACTATACTGAAAATAAAAATAGTCGTTTATAGTTACTTTATTCTATATAGTTAATATAGTAGCTTATAGTTACTAGTTCTATTGGATTGCAACCCCTGGGGTAATTACATTATATTAAAGGCAGCAATAGCGTCAGATGCGTTTTGATTTTATAACATCAGGTTATACTTTCTGGCACATTTAAAGCACTGACACAAATTTAATTGGTGTGTCTGCGTCATTGCATGCAAGGTTTCTGTATTTATAACCACCTCAGAGGATATTGGGGGTCGCGAGTCACTGGCATTGTTATTTTGGGGGTCGCGGGCTGAAAAGTTTGGGAACCCCTGATTTATAGTATAGTATAGTATAGTATAGTATAATATAGTTATAGTAATGCTATATTAAAGTACTTGAAATAATCTGTTGTGGTAATGATATAGTTGCTATGGTAATACAACAACTTTAGTAATATAAACATATCACATAAATACAGTTTTCTACAAATATAGGGTATACTACAATACACCAGTTTACTTTAGTAAAAACCTAAGTATGCTACAGTATTTATTACAGCTTATTAGTTCGCTATAATTAATACTATAATCATACTATTATTATAATGCTATACAGTATATAATACACATTACTATAGTATAGTTCAAAAACACCACAGTATTTACAGTAAATGACTGTAGTATTTCTGTCATGTGCGGCAGTAGTTGCCAGATAAGTTTTCTTCAGTGTTCCAGACTTAATTAATTAATTTATAATTATTTCAAACAGCACATTTAGCATTTTCAGCTTTTAAAAGGCTGCTTTTAGTGCAAGGAAAATTTGTTCTTGTAAAGATTTATGTACCTCTAAATTCAAATATCAATTAAAAATGCCACACTCTTAAGAAGCATGATCAAATTGCCAGATTTGCTTAAAAGGAGCAGTTTTTTTATGTTTCCGCGAGGAATCATGCCTTCAGCTGAAATTTTAGTGGTGTTATATTCCACTGTAGTTTTCATACATTCATTCATTTTCTTTTCGGCTTAGTCTCTTTATTAATCTGGGGTTTCCACAGCGGAATGAACCGCCAACTTATCAAGCACATCAAACACAGCGAAGTTGCAACCCATCACTGGAAAACACCCATACACTCTCATTCACACACATACACTACCCAATTCACCTAAAGCGCATGCCTTTGGACTGTGGGGGAAACCGGAGCACCCGGAAGAAACCCACACCAATACAGGGAGAACATGCAAACATAACCGTCTTGCTGTGAGACGACAGCGCTACCCACTGCGCCACACACAACCGCACTGTAGTTTTAATTTCTAATAATATTACTTTTTAAATAAGGATTTAATTTGATGATTTTATTTATGAACAGTGCCTGTTCTTAACATTCAGTACATAATTTACCTATTGCCTTTTTCAGCGTTTATGCCAAAAAAAAAGAAAGAAAAAATCTGACATCAATTTATGTATGTACGTGTATTTATTGAAACAAATTTCCTAAAATGAAAAATTCTCAGTGAAAAGGTCTTCTT